AGCATCTTTCCTTCTAAATATTTTACTATAGCATGGCATTAGTCTTTAAGACTAACTCTACCAGAAGGACTAATAATCCTTAAGTTTACTATTTACCTTTTCAGCACAATTTCTGGATATAAAGTTAGACTGTTTATATCTAAACTTATATCTAGATTTCAAGATTTTCAGCGGGAAATATTAACATAGTTTTCACTTAAAAAAAAAAAAAACTCAGCTATTCAGAGATCAGCCTACAGAAATCCTCAGCTTCCCAAAGCAACTTACATCCCCAAATAAACAAAACTTAACTGATAACAAAACAGGAGATTCTGGAGACCCACAGCAAATACAAACAGATGATAATCAAAAAACCTGAAGGCTACGCTATACCAATGTTTTAATCAGTTGTTGATGACTATGACAAAAGACCAGAATTTTTCTGTGAAAGTCAAAAAGCATAGAAAATTAACAGTTTACAGGAAAAAAAAATAAGAGAGGAAAATAAGAAACCAGGAAGTAGTAGAGGTTAAGTAGTTGTAATCATAATAATGGCAGCAGGGGAGGAGGGCTGGTCGCTGAACGGAGCAGTGCATTGCAAACACTAAGAGAAAGGAGGCAGAAATGAGGATGGAGAAGACAATTTACTAATTTCCCACTCCTTTATTCTAAACTCAGTTTTGTTTTACTGAAGTACATTCTATAGTAGGTCTCTGAATGGTAATTTAGTACTGGTTCTTCCTGCTCCGAAATTCTGAATATTTTTATTCTTAGAATTTCAGTCTATCAAAAATTCTAAAAATTCTTCAGCTATTATCTGTTGAAACATTGCCTTTTCCCTATTCTCTCTAGTATCTCCTTCTGGAACTCCAGTTAGAATCCATCTTCCATGTGTATTATGCTCACTCTCTTGTTTTCCAACTCTTTATTCCTTTGTGCAACATTCTGGGTACTTTCTTCAGCTCTGTCTTCCCAATGAGCAATTCTCTCTTTAGCTGTGTACACTGCGTCAATGAGGTAACATCATGATATAGTTTCTATTTCTGGAGATTCTGTCTTTGGTTATTTGATTCTGTTTATCAAATCTGTTTTACGTTTCATTGGCATCTAGTTCTTTTGTCTCTTCAATCATTTAAGAACATCTTATGGTCTCTTTTAGACTATCTAATTATTTCAGATTTTTTAAGGTACTCATCCTATTTGTCGCATCTGCTGACTCTGTCTGTCAAAACGAAACGCTAGTGGAGGGGAAGAATTACTCTGGAAAAAGAGCCAACTTAGAATATTTATAATCTTTAAAAAGTGATTCTCAATATGAAGAGGTTGTTTGCAGGTGTAAAGGGGACAGTGTACCCTTCAGGGGGTGTAAGAACTTCCCAGGGCCCTTTCAAGTCCCACAAGGCATTCAGACTCTGAGATATATTCAGAGATGCCCTGATCCTTCCCTGCCCGCTCTGAGGATCACTGCAGTATTCAACCTATGTTATTACTGGGTGTGTATTACATTCCATAAGTGTGTAGGCTAAAAAAGGGGGTAAAGAGGATGAAAACAACTGTTTGAAGCATCTGAAATTTATCTCTTTAAAATGAAAAACCAAATTGACTTTTTTCTCCCACAGTGCCTTCTAGGTTTCCTACATCATGTACTAAACATATCTTTCCTTTCCCATTTCTGTTTGAAAGTTGACTTATAAGACACTGAAATTCTACATGCAGTTAATTCTATTTCTGAGCTTTCTATCTGGCCCCATTGATCCATATTTCTAATCTTATGCTAGTATCACACACTATTTTAAAGTCTATTGCTTTGCCTTCATAGCTTATAATAGAAATCTATTTTAAAAGCATTCTTCAAGATTTTGGCCCACTTCATTTTGTAGAGAACTCTAAATCCACTTTCCTGAAGTATGTTAAGATCTTGCTTGTGTGCAAATTATTACGTAATCATCTTTAAATTATTTCATTGTCCTACCCAGAATGCAATCTTTCTCACTAATTAATCAAATCCCTTTTAGCTCTGTATAAGTCTTTAAAAAATCTATCTCAATAAAATTGATTTCTTGGTATTTTATACTTTCATGAAGTATGAAATTACTTTTTCATATCTGCTTGAAGGTATACAGAAATGCTATTGATTTTTCCATGGATATTTTACGTAGACAAATTATGAATTCTTTTTTAGGTCATTTTCTAGGATTTTTTAGGTGTACATATGGCTATTATCATCTTTGAAGAGATAATATGAGCTCTTGATGGTTATATATCATGTCTCATTTCATTAATTAGAACTTCCCAAACAATATCAAACCACAGCCATGGCACTGTCCACCCCTCCTCTCTTCTCCTCACCCATCAATTCAAAAGTGGCATCAAACAATATCACTTTAAGACATAGAGATGAGGAAGAGTACTTGTCTATGCTTAGCTTTTCGGGAAGTCTATAGGATATCACTAAGATTCTCAACAGAGAAACCCAAGCTAAAATGTAAAAAAGGTTCATTGTTTAGACTGAGAACATTCAAACTACCTGGAAAGTTCAGTCATTTAGAACATTTCATTAAGAGCTTTACTACATTAAACAAGGCTTTCATTCAACATGGTGGGTGGGGAGGGGAGACAAAGTTATACAACTAAGAACAGGAAAGCTAATTTAAGACTAAATTTTTTGAGTGATGAGTAGACAGAAAACAGTGTTCCTGAAGTGTCTGATTAAGTTAGAATAAGATTTTTTTTTTCTTAAAAGGTTCATTAATTGAAATTACGAAAATATATATACAGTATCAAAAGAAAATGATATGCAATAATACTTATCGCTAAGGTTAAAAATTATAGTACAAATTTACATTGGATTTGATCTTCAAGTAAACTATGGTACTGTGGCGAGGACAACAAATAAAATTAACTTGCATGATATTCCCCTAGACTATTAAGAGCCCTAAACAAATACAATATTAAGAAATCATTCTGGAAATCATGTCTGTTGAACAATGGCAGTGGAAATGAGAATTGTCTATTTTTCCAACGCTTCTAGAACAATTTAAAGGTTACCTTATTTTTAGCAAAGGTTCTACCCTTAAAATATGATGAAACAGGATATTCAAGAATTCCTCAGGATCTAGGAGAAAATTTAAAAATCAAATAAGTCACAGACAAAATTTTTAAATCATTTTATTTTTTATTTCTAACAGTCATATTTTAATACTGAATTCTGTTTCATTCGCCCAATATTATTTCAATTAAAAGCACAGTTTTCAAGTTTTCCTGACAAAGGAAAAACACAAAAGGCATTTAAAAGTTATAATCAAGTATTATGTTTCAATTTTGTTGTAAGTTTATTACATTTGAAAGAGTGCAACAGATCGCACATAATGAAATAGCTGTTATTTCTTTTGGGGGGTTTAAGGTAAGTGGAGTACAATCTGAAGTATGCCCTGTTTTTTCCTGCAAGCCTCTAAACATTACAGCTGGTTACAGTATGCTGCTGACAAGTTCAAAGTCAGGTGGTGAATCTTTGAATAAGCCCATTAGCTAGGAAGAGATTGAAACACTGTTCCCTGACTATAAACTTAATCCTAGTCAGCAGCTTTCTAACTCCTTTTATAACAAGGAAAACTCAGTGAGAAAATGTAGAAAACCCAATGCAACTCTGCACCACAAGAGAGAAACAACTGAGAATATCATTGCTGGGTGGAAAGGAAAGGACTTTTTATTTAAGCATTTAGTATACTAGAACCAGCCAGCTTCTTAAAGGAGTTCATTATTCCACATCATCGATCACTTTTAGAAGAGAGGAAGAATTTACAAAAAGGGAAGATAACCATATATCACATAGAAAGAAATTTCTAATTTAAAATAAAACCCCCCAACTACACAGACACACATTTCAGTTAATACTTTGACATGTGAATATGCTCTTCAGTTAGGTTTAATGCATGTAAGTTAAGATGGTCACCTTTTTCTTCAGAGGTAAATCCTGATGCAGCCTCCACCTTTTCAAGTATTTTCCTCAGTTTCATAATTTTTGTGGCACACACATATCCATATCTATGTTAGTAAAAAACTATTAATTGATATTGGCATGTATGAAATTATATAACACATCTTAATCACACAGTTCTTTTTTTTTTTTTTTTTTGAGACAGAGTCTTACTCTGTCACTCAGGCTGGAGTGGTGCAACGGCCCGATCTTGGCTCACTGTAATCTCCGCTTCCCAGGCTCAAGAGATTCTCAAGCCTCAGCCACCAAAGTAACTGGGATTACAGGCGTGCACTACCATGTCGAGTTAATTTTTGTATTTTTAGTAGACACAGCATTTCACCATGTTGGCCAGACTGCTCTTGAACTCCTGGCCTCAAGTGATCCACCTGCCTCGGCCTCCCAAAGTGCTGGGATTATAGGTGTGAGCCACCGTGCCCAGCCAACACATTTCTTATACAACTCCAGTATGTCATAAATCAATAGGTTAGACAATTAGTTTGAAGAAAACAATTACAGACTTCTTCTTGAAGCTTGCAAAATTAAAGATCTAGAACCAGAATTATTCTAGACACTATTATATGCTCTACAAGTAACTGTCTTACACTAATACAATACAAAAATTATTTTAAGTTTGTGGTGACTAATTTTTTAAATAATATTTGCTTGGGAAATTAAAGCATTTACTTTATAAAGCAGAATATACAATTTTGAGAGACAGTATCCTTTTAATAGTAAAGTGTGAAACAGCCACTAAGGGAAATGGGAAAAGGAATTTATAAGAAACTGAAAAGGTAAAATCTGCAATCAAACCAACTGGCATAATGATGACATTTTCTCTCTTCTTTGTCTGAATGCAAGACACATTCAATAAGTTTAATATCACTTTAAATTTGTAATTCTAAAAATGGCTTCAGAGGACAACTTAGTGGCTACCATAAGTTTACTAAGGACAAGTCAGAACTAGCTAATTTTATATCCACTTTTTGTACTATTCATTCACTCGTTCGTTTCCTGCAACCAATGCAGACTGAGAATCTACCACTTACATAGTAATGTAACCTGTCAGCCACTGGGAATACAAAACGAGTATAAAAAGACAGAGTGTCTGAAGAAAAGCAGAGATTTCAGCACCAAATAAAACCAGCCAACTATATACAGATATGAATGCTACAGACACAGACACAGGGAATCCTGATCACAACAGGGCATCTGACCAGTTTCTTACTGTATACAGGGTAAGAAAGT